TTCAGGACTGTTCAGGCCTTTTCATGGGATTCATTCGGCTCATTAGGTCAGCACGTTCTTGATAAACAATGTGGTCTCCTATGCTGAGCGTGGAGCTTCAGCCGTGCACATCCGTTAAGTCGATTGCGCTGCAAATATTGCATATAAACAGTTGAAAGCATATAGTTATTTTGAAGGCAAGAAGGAATTCCGGAAACTTTAATGTGCTCCTGACCCTACACTGAATCTAAGTGGACCCATAAGCGGTTCCAAAGCCACGGCTAGAACATTCAAACCGCCTCTATTGAACAAGTGACTGGCCCTTTAAATGAGAGCGGGTTCGCTAGCCTTGTCGTGAAATCCGCGATGAAAGAAAGGAGGAAGAAGGTGAACAATCTGTCATGTAGTCCTTGACGTCCTTGTATTCGGGATATTCTTGCTGTGAATTATTGTAAGAAGAATTTACTCAAAGTAGCCGTTCGCTGTATGATGAATTTGTTACGAAAGATCGTGAAGTATGAAAAATTTATGAGGGATCATGGTAATCGTTCATTTGTAGGGGTCTGTGATTAGTCTCTTGTGGTGTGCACATGAAAGAATTACATTTCTCCCATTATTGAATGTCTAGGTTGAATTGATGGTAAATGCACGTGCCAGACGTTCAACGGCTGGGAACAAGATGTCCGCTTTGATTGAATCAACTACCCAGGAGGACGAGTTCTACAAAAGCGCTTACGGAGGAGGATTCAATGAGGTCAGTTCCCATTTTTATTACACGGTTATTCTCTTGCTGGCCCATACCCGTGTTTAGGTAGTAGTGATTACTTAGTTGTCATAAGAACTACATTTCCAATTGTGGTTACATCAAGGTCAAGCCAGTCACAGTCAGACCTCGATGTTTCAGCGCGATCCTTACAAGGCTTACCTAGCGCTCATTCCGCTGCCTTCTGGTACTTAGACCCTAACACGAGCTGTAGCACTTGCTAAAGGCAAAACAGGTTGTGGAGATATGTATAGGCTCTTTTTGAACAGGCTGCTTTTTGTTTTGTCACAAATCAGAACCATAGACTCAACATTATGTCCCAGTCAAGTGTTT